TAATATATAATTATATATATTCCTTATTTTATATATAGATCCCAAATAGTTATTAAATATTATGGTCACTTTATATTTCAGAGAAAAGAGTGGATTCAACAGACAGGGTTTACTTTGTGAATCACAACACAAAAACAACCCAATGGGAAGATCCAAGAACTCAAGGGTATGTATATACAGCAGCCTTAAATCATCTTGCATATATCTGTAGGTAGAATCAACCAACCTTGAATGAGATATTTTTAGTACCTAGAAAATATTCATCTTGTGATTTTAACTTTATCTTTTAGCTTACAGAATGAAGAACCCTTGCCAGAAGGCTGGGAAATCAGATACACTCGTGAAGGTGTAAGGTACTTTGTTGATCATAACACAAGAACAACAACATTCAAAGATCCTCGCAATGGGAAGTCATCTGTGTGAGTGAAAACTTGAAGTTCTCCTTTAAATGTTGCTTAGTGAGCACATGAGAGTTAGTCTCTAACTTATCCTCAAGTTTAGAAAAATATTTTACTTTTTGGTTCAAGAAAACCTACACAAGTGATACGTTAGTATAGCTGTCTTTGCTCTCATTTGACAATGGATTTGCAGCATGTCATTCCTTAATAATAGCAATGGCAACTATTTATGTAGTGATTACTATATGCCAAGTATTGTTCTAAGTACTTCATAGGTATTAACTCATTTTATCTTCCAATAACCCCTTGAGGTAGATACTATTATTTTTCCCTTTACCAAGTGAGGAGAGGTACAGGGAGTGTAACTAACTGTGCAAAGTTATAAGTCAAGTAATGGAGCTGGTTTCTAACTATGACAGTCAGTCTGTCTCTTAACTCTGTGCTCTTAACTGCCACATGACACTGCTGCAATGAGATGGTCAGTGAAATGATTTTCCAGATTTAAAGATACCTTAATTAAGCAGTTGACAGATGTCTCCTTCATTCTTACTCTAAGGTGTAATGTCTTTGCATAACTAAGAAAGTAGAAGCAATCATAAAAGGTCTTTTGCAAATTTGTACCACCATATCTGTGCATCTCCTACCACCTCTCCTCCCTCCTGTTCCTGTAGATGAACTGTCATTGTTATTATCAAAGTCTGCTCCCTCTGCTGGTACATTCGATTCCTACCACCACTTTTCTACTTAATTGCTCCAACAGTTACCACCTTTGTCTTGCATTATCAGGTTTTATTTCTCCACTAAATTATTCTTATCAGCTGTTATTTCTCCTAGATTTAAAAAAAAAAGCAAAAAAAAAATTACAACTCTTCCCTTTACCAAACCAATGTGTTCGATTACACAGTTCATTTGTGTGTGGTTTTTTTTTTTTTTTTTTTTTTTTGAGATGGAGTTTCGCTCCTGTTGCCCAGGCTGGAGGGCAATCAATGATGTGATCTCAGCTCACTGCAACCT